TAACATCTCAACTGACAGGCATTATTAGTAAACATGATTTTAAAGAATTTACTGAAAAACATAAACAAGTGGAACCTCTATTTCTTGGAAAGAATACAATCCCACATTAGAGTAACATTAAGATTGTATCTATTAAAAAAAAAAATCCAGAGATACTACATTGGACACCTATGACAGAACTTATGCAAATTTAGGCCCCCCCAGCTAAAGCATTTCAATAAGCTCATATTCCAGTAACCTCAAAAATCTATTTCACGTCCAGATTTATTTAGAAACGTTTGGACTGTGCAGTCCCTGAAGCAATCAAACTTGCATAATGGCTTCAGCCTAACCCGGGAGAACCACATGTCTGTGCTGAAATCAGGCGGCCTCTGATCTGTCAGGCATGCTCACTTCCTTCCGGCTTCATACTACAGCTCTGTGTAGCCAAGGACCCCTGCACATAGAAGGCAACTCAAGGAGAGCAGGGGTCGTCTTTTTCTTCCTTGCCTCTCCTTCCTAAGCAGCCTGTGTCTGGGGTGCAACAGTGCCTATTACCAACCAAGTATTTGTGCTTCCAGCCATGTTGTAGGGCAGTGACTAGACATGAAGTGGTCCCCCTTTCTGTTTGTTGCCCGGGCTCTGTCTCTCACTGTACAGATATTTGAGGTATACTTATGCCCTCCTCTCTGAGTGGAAATAAGAGAGTCCCTCCTGTAGTCTTTTCCTGTGTATTCATTCTCATTTTAGCATTCACTCACCTCTTGACTTGGGTGCTAACATCCGTGAACCACGTTTAAAGCCCTTCTCGTTAAGTTAGCAGATCTGTTCACAAACACATTCCTTCCTTCATTGTAACTGATGATCATAAAAGCTGGGTTTGAAATTAATTGGGCTGTCATTGAGCATATTTGTAAAGTCTGTTCTTGTTGTTAGACAGAATCCTACATCGGTCTTTGTTTTAGAGTACTGAAGCAACCTGTCCCTTGTCCTCTCCCTGTTGTAAAAACTGATGGAAGATAAGCATAAAAGAAGTCTTTCTGTTTTTTCCGTTAAGAGGTAATTAACCCAAGCCTTCAATGCTAATTACCTTCTGTGGATTCCAAGATGTGTGCATAGTCATGGAAGATATTAATTGATGTGGATAGCAACAACAACAAAAAAAAGTACCAAGTTCCCCAAGCCTCACAACATTAGTTAACTGTAGGATCATGCTGGGATGGAAGTGTCAAGTGTTTTGTAGATGGCAATGAGAGACAAACTACTGACCAACTGATGTGACCTTGTTAGAGGGCTGAAATCTTGCCCTAGGGTAAATGTAGGGACTTAATTCTGAAGGCTGCAGTAGAAGGGTACTTACACACTCTCATCGACACCTCCTGCTGTAGATGCAGGCCCTCTTTTCCCACCATTTAGCTTCTAGGAGTTTCTTTTTCCTAACTCTCTGCCCTACCCAACCTCCTTACTCCCCTCCAGGAATCTCAGTTCCCTGCAGTTCGTGCACAGACAAGAGTTTGGCTTTGTATCAGTGATTTGCTGAAGAGAGGCAGGAATTTCATTAGCAAGAAGGAAATGCTGTGGCCTGCTTTTAACCTTCCCCTTCTGCTTTTGGAGCAAAGAGGCTTGCTCACTCTCACATGAGCTACTCTGGTGAAGGGGACCCAGTGTGGAGGCATTGACAAGATAGGCAGAGAGCACAGGTGCTCAGGACCACTCAAGACTGGTATTGCCAGTATGTGAGATAATGCTAATTAGTGCATAGTGATATTAGTATTGCATGATACTGCCTACATTTACAGTGCAGTGCTAGCATGATAGTGTCATGCTGGCCACCACAAGTCTGCCCAAAGAAGCAGCTGGAACACCCATTGGTTCTGCAGAATAGCTCCAGTGGAACCTGCCATCAGGAGGGCAGGAGCTCCAGCATCCTGAGACAGTCTGCTAAATGAGGATAGATCAAAGGTGAATTATTTCTGGGAGATCTCTATGTCCATGGGAAAGATAGTGAGTGTATATGTGTAGTCATTGTAACTATTAAGTCCTTTCAAGGTCTGAGAGGACAGATACCAGTACCAAAGATAGACCAGTGCCATGCTTCTGAATAGGGACAGGAGGTCTAAAAAATTCCTTCTATGAATGAGTCAGAAACACCGTTTTTCCATTCTTTGGACAGTGATATTATCAACTTAATGACCTTTTCATGAGTCAAAGGTATATATATTGAGATACTGATACCTGAACAATTACATAGATAACAGTTTTGTAATTGACTTTTATTACAGATAATTATTCTACAGATCATTTCACCATTGCTTAGAAAACATTAACTAATTGATCTAGGATGTATACTACAATTTTCTTAGTTGTTGCAGTTTAGGCATGAGGCCTTCCTTTTAATAGCTAAATTCTTACACTTTGACTAAAGAATCTCATCAGGCTTAAACTCCTAGTGTACATCCCCATAATGTTCAGAATCACCAAGCTGAGAGCTGGAAAAACTTTTACATATTGTCTGGAGCAGAGCAAGCCAAAGATTGTCACTATACCACATTTGCTAATGTTTTGAATTTTCATATGTGTATGAGCTATGTAAATTAATGTGCCTATTAGGGTATAGTTGTATGACTGGAAAATATTTTAATGCATATCTTAATGTTGATAACCTTGTCGATTCTCATCTATCTCTGCTTACAATCCACAACTCTTTTGTGATAAGCTAGCATTAGACCTAAGCCCAGAAAAATCTCATTTCCAGTCAGTAAGGAACGTTTTTTTAAATAACCTATTCTTTTCCTCTCTGTTGCTTATGCTGTGACTTCTGAAGCTGGCTAATATGCAGTGCTATTTTATTTTCTGCAAAATTAACTAAAAGGCAGCTAAGCCTAGATTTCTTATGTTAAACTTCCACGTAAACAATTGTTGTAGGTAACCAAGGGTGATCACACAATTGCAAGTTTACAGGAAGCTTATTCCAAAGGCAAGAATGAAAAGGTACAGTGCTCCGTGCTAGTGTTAATGAGTGAAGATGAGGGTCCTTATCACAGAGCCATCTGAGAACCTGTCCAAAGTCATTGGGGAAATGCCATAAACAGGCTTTTAAATTTATACAGCAAAATGCAAACCAGTTCTATTGTAAAGAACATGCTATTAGTGTATTTTGTAAATATAAACCTTATATACCTATTTGTAATGCATATCACAGTGAAAATACAGCGTATTCTGTTTGTCTCTAGTATTTGTCTGTGAATAATTTCTAAACCAGTTCCATTATTTGCAAATATTGAATATTTGTAAAATACTTCAAGCTAATTATTTGTGCATAGTTCGGTTTAGTATTCACCATTTGTGGCTGAGCAATTAGATGCTTACCCATTGGAGGAATGTAATTTAATATGTTTTAAAAATTGCTTTGCTGAGTCAGAACTCAGCTAGTATAAGCATTTTAATTGAAAAATAATGGAGAATAAGTTATGACTGGTGCTTAATGCCACCTTATAATTACTAAATTAAATGTAGGGATATTTAAATGTCGTTCTAATTGAATATCAATCACTGAAATCTTTTTAAATGCCAAATATGATCTTTGAACACCAATGAGCAAAAATAATATACATCTCTGTCATTGCTGAACTGATTATAATACTAATCTGTACTAATAAATTAATTTCATTCCCAGTATCTTTTCAGTATCCTTTATAAAACATCATATCTGTAACTCAGAAATGCTTATTTTAGTGTAACTCTAAATATTTTTATTAATAGTGGAATGAGGAAACCTTTACAATTACTAAATGCAGAAGTTTTAGATGATAGTAAAAACCTTTAAAAAACAATTAAAGGACAGTTTTCAACTTAAAGAAGTTTATTAATGCTTTCAATCTCCTCTAGGCCATTCTTGTGTTAAAACCATTTTTTGGAATTTAAATAAACTACCCAGATACAAAAATTCCATGTAAACAAATGTCTAAGTGTGAGGCAACATTGCAGTTTGAAATATCAGTGGAAGCAAAGTAATGCTTCCTGGAAAGAAAAAACATCAAAGATTTCATAAGGCACAAGGGTATAATTCTAAAAATGGCTGGTAAAGTGAGGCAAGGAAAGGCTGGAGGCAGGATCTGATCTCTACTCATGCTGAAGGCAGTGGGCTTTTTGCCATTAACTGTGAATAGTGAATGTCATCAAGCTGTTTCATATTACAACAGCAGCAGAAGCTTTTTCATGTGCTTTCAGAATCCGTCATAAACCAAGCTAGCTAGCCTTAAAAACACATGTAAAGAAGAATGTTAATTGACTTTTTACTGTAAAGCTTATTCAGAAGTTTAAACAGGACTTCTGGGTTTTGTTAATAAAACAGATTTTTTCTTTCTAACCTGAAAGGTGATCAGAGAATTGGGGTATATATAGCACTGTCTAGCAACTATCAGTGCTAATTAATGAGTGATAGTTATTAGCTCTTATTATTAAATTACATTAAAATTAGCTAACATAGTGCTGTACTAGCATGTCTCCCAAGTTTACAATTGAAAAAATGTTGCAAAATAAAAAAGACTGTCTACAAAGTTTAAATCAGATGGAGAGGTCAAGTAGACAGATAGCTTTTTCATAATTAGATTGCAATGACTAAACATTAAGGCACTGTTACCTGCACATTTCCTAGAAATGATGTCAGCAGTCATTAATAAGTCAGGTCTAAGCAGTTTTCCAAAAGTTTGAAATAGTCAGATTTGACTGTGTTTGTTCTGTGTTGCATTTTGTAACAGATGGTTTCCAAGAATATGGTATTTACTTTGTAGAAGAGTGACTTGAAACACAGAAGACCTCCAGTTAATGTCTAGCTGACAGACCTGATACTGACTTACAGTCAGAAGTTTCTGACAATTTTAAAACTTAATGATATAAAGCAGTACCAGTGTTGCCAGCTGAGTGTCTTCCCACACAAAAATCTGCATAAAATATTTTTTTTGTAGGATAAATGACAATAATGGTTGTTCTCTCCAAAATCATACTTTTTTTTTTTCCAGTCTAAAACATATATGTGCAGTTGGCAAGGGGATACCCTGTGTTTCACAGTCGACTTTGCTCTGGGATTTACCTGTTTTGACAGTAAAACAAAGGTAAGAGGAAAAAGAAAAGAAAACATAACTGTGTCTTATTTTACTGTTATTGAAGTTATCAGTAACTTTAGTTTTTTATGTTGATCAGTAACGGTAATTTTTTATGTGGATGTCGAGTATTTCTTCCTCAAAGGTACTGTACTTTTTATTTATATAGCACTACTGAAATGTAGTTAGTTTGGGACTTGAAAGGGACAATTATTTGTGACATAGCGTGTAAAGATAAATTTTGGAGAAAGATATAAAAAAAGTAATTTCCTTTTCAAGCAATAAAAGCAAAGGAAGGTTGTATTTAGCCAAGAACTTGGTTTCTTATAATGAAGAAACTTGAAGATTTTTAAAAGATTACTAGTCATGAAAAAATGAAGTGTCACCTCATTCTATTTGTTTTGAAGCTACAGATATAAAATATGATTACTTATTCTTCCATCATAAGAAATTTAGGCCATGTCTAAAATAGACAGAACAAGGGCAAATGCATTTCAAAGTTAAAATCTGCAAGATAAAATTCACTTATCTTGCAAAACACTGGTTATATATAAAGTGCTACAGGGGATGGTTTATGATACATGGAAACTTCCAAGCCCTGTCTATAATTCTAGTATTTTATATATAATTTAGTGATACTTTAATTTAAATTATTCTAAATGGATTTACACATTTGTTTGCCAGTAGAAGTAAACATACATACAAAAAAATGTTTCTGCATTAATAGAGCTGTACAGTAGGTCTGTCCTCTGACATGTGGTCTTAACTCCAAACTGAAAGGAATTTTTAAATAGATATTAAAGAAATTCAGTCAGTCATCCTGAGTTAAGAGGAAACATAGTGCATTTTGAAATATTTACACAGGATCTAGTTTTTGTGTGTTGGTATTTTGGGGGTTTGGGTCAAAATGCACAAGTTTATTGAAACCTTTGTGCAGAGAAATAATGACCAAGATCATTGTTATTTGAAAATTTAGACTAATTGCATTAAGTGTGATATCCTATGAGTTAGCATAAAGTTTCAGGAAATATGTTTGCATACCTTTCTCTGCCTGAGGTGATACTGCATTCCGAAATTTTGCTTTTTACACAATTGTACCCATTTTGCATGTAGCCACAAATTAACTATAGAAAGTAATCTCATTAGTTTGGACTACAGAAAATGTTTCTTTTAAATGTGAAGATTGATTGGGTGTACTCCCACCTTTAAAATTAGAAACTTCTCTATTGGTAGGACTTTGAGCCGCAGTGCCTACCTTCAGTATTGATGATGAGGAGGATTTAGATCAACCTTTGTTGCTTTCCTAAGGAGAAATACAGAATACCACCAGATAGACTGATTCTGTTGTTAAACTGTAAAAGTTCTGGAGAGCTCAGGTACATTTATTGTTCATCTGTGTGAGAGATGGAGATGTCCTCTGCACCCTCAAGCTCGAGTGAGGCAGTAATGGGTGGCTTCCACAGTTCATCTTACTTCCCATAATTGTCAGCTGAAGTTGACTGTGTTGCCCCATACTCATTGCTTTTTCAGAATATTTCCTACCAACACTGAATAGATTGTTGAAGTGGTCAAGCAATTAACAGTTCATTAGGGACACAGCAATTTTGCTGAAAAATTTATTTTTTCTTAGACATAATGAATTTCAAATTAATTTCACCTATTGATGCACTGAATGCTCTTACACCACAGCAGGTGTTCATACAGGCTTATTAAAATAAAGGCCAGTCCCCCGTCTGCTCTACGACTCTAAGCCTGGATCTCAAATTTTGGGCAACTAGCTCATGTACTCATTAAAAAATGTTCTTTTTTACAGTCTGGAAAATAATATAAAAAGGGCCTTCTTATTACAAATGGCAAGATAAAAAGGGCAAGAACTTTTGCTTAGGAGTGTGGTGGGTTGGCCCTAGCTGGACGCCAGGTGCCCACCAAAGCAGCTCTGTCACTCCCCCTCCTCAGCTCAAGAGGGGGGAGAAAAATACGATGCACAGCTCATGGGTCCAGATAAGGGCAGGAGGAGATCACTGAACAATTACCATCAAGGGCAAAACAGACTCGATTTGGGGTAGTTTAATTTATTACCAATCAAACCAGAGTAGGGTAATGAGAAATACAACCAAACCTTAAAACACCTTCCTCCCACCCCTCCCTTCTTCCTGGGCTCAATTTCACTCCCCATTTTCTCTACCTCCACCCCCTGAGCGGCGCAGGGGGATGGGGAATGGGGGTTGTGGTCAGCTCATCACATGTTGTGTCTGCCGCTCCTTCCTCCTCAGGGGAGGACTCCTCACACTCTTCCCCTGCTCCAGTGTGGGGTCCCTCCCACGGGAGACAGTCCTCCATGAACTTCTCCAACATGAGTCCTTCCCACAGGCTGCAGTTCTTCATGAACTGCTCCAGTGTGGGTCCATTCCACGGGATGCAGCCCTTCAGGAGCAGAGTGCTAGCAGGGACCCCCCATGGGGCCCCAAGCCCTGCCAGCAAACCGGCTCCAGCCTGGGCTCCTCTCTCTCTCCATGGGTCCGCAGGTCCTGCCAGGAGCCTGCTCCATCCCAGGCTTCCCACGGGGTCACAACCTCTTTTGGGCACATCCACCTGCTCCACCATGGGCTTCCATGGGCTGCAGGGGCACAGCCTGGCTCACCATGGTCTTCACCAGGGGCTGCAGGGGAATCCCTGCTCCAGCGCCTGGAGCTCCTCCTTCCCCTCCTTCTTCACTGACCTGGGTGTCTGCAAGGTTGTTTCTCTCACATGTTCTCTGGCTGCTGTTCCCCCATGGTTTGGGTTTTTTTTTTTTCCCCTCCTTCTTAAATATGTTATCGCAGAGGCACTTTCACCGTCACTGATGGGGTCAGCCTTGGCCAGTGGCGGGTCTGTGTTGGAGCTGGCTGGCATTGGCTCTGTCAGACATAGGGGAAGCTTCTAGCAGCTTCTCACAGAAGCCACCCCTGTAAGCCCCCCACTACCAAAACCTTGCCACAGAAACCCAACACAAGGTGTTTAAGTTCTTTTAGAAAACTTTTCTAGAACAGTTTTGGTGGATTCTTAAACTTATTTGAAAAAATTACTTCATTTCCTACATGTTCTGTTCCAGGGTCATTCACGGGCTTAACTCATTCAGCTTTTACCATTTTGGGCCCATGACAAAGATACTCTTGTGCCCTGCAGCTGCTTTATATCTATCACAGAGATTCTTTTTATCTTGGCTTGGTTGGTTCATCTTCCCCATCCTATGCCTCCAGCTGCTCATCCAAGATAAAGGGATCCCAAAGAGTGCGTTTTCTTCCATCTTCCAGAGCCATCTACTTCTTTTCCACTCAGTGTCAACTGTTGAGAGAGATGATGACTCCAGCAATGCCTATTATTGCTAAATTGTTCCTAAGTTCTTGTTTCATCTCCACTCTAGCAGTTTATTATATAGCGAACATTCACCTATCCTATTTAGATCCAAACTCATTTAAGCTTTGAATACTTTTCAGGTGGTCTAATTAGGCCCTCTGGACCCAGTTAAAATCTGTTCATGAATGTAAAGTTTAAGCACCATCACAATGCTGTAGCATAGTTTGGTTTTTCTTCATCTGTTATGTTTGCCTAAAAAGTCAATGACATTTATGTCTGCAGGGAACCAGGAGATGGAATCAGGCTTTTTGTGCCTTCTGTAAACCTTTTTTTGTTTATAGGGCATTCCCTTTCAAACTATGACTAGGGTTCTGAAGACCACTGGTAGCACTGGTCTACATGAAAAAAATATTCTGCAGTGAGGTATATTGAAAAAGGGGACATAGCAAACTTTTGAAATAGCCTTCAAAGTATTTAAATTGTGTTTCCTCAGCAGTGTCCAGGGACTGAATCACATTTCAACATGTGCATAGAATTTGCATTAAGATTATAGGCATTAAGCAAATATCAGGAGGAAGTCCAGATGCAAGTTTTTACCTTGTGGTTTTTTTAAACTTACACATTTTCAGGCAATCAATAGAAACATTCAAATAAATACAGAAAATGGCATTGGTTTCAAAAATAATTTCCCAATATTTGTTTTTAAAAAATATCTCCATAACAATTAAAACATACCTGTCAATTTAGGATTTGCCAACAGTAGTAAGATGCCATGCATAAACCTGTAGGAGACCAAGAAGCCTAGAATTCTTATATATTTTGCAAACAACTATGTAATGTAGAACATATTTTTGTGGTTTGTGACACTACATTCAATAATAACATTTTTGCATTTCCATAGCTTTTTTTAGCTAAGGATTTCAAACCATGATACACACATCAGTAAATTCAGCTTTGCAAAATCTGTGTAAGACATTATTATCTACGGCATGCAGATGAGCCAGCTGAAATATGAAAGATCGAGATATGGTATGGAATTATGTTCATAATGAAACTGATACAAATATCCTCATGGATCTTTCTGGAATTAAGCTTTTGCCATGGATTTTGATATCATGTAGGCAACTGAAATATTTACATTTCAGAGAATTCTAAATAATTGTTTAATTAGTGAATATTAATATCGCATCTTTTGTTTTCACATATGATACAGAGGTATTAATTTTATTTGCTCTGCAACCAGCCTGTTATCATGCACTATGTTTACTGCCCTAATGCTTTGTCTTAATACATAAACATTGATCATCAGTCTATAGTTCTAGGTAAGACTGTGTAACAGCGTCCTTAATCAAATTTCTTTCTCTTTAGAACGTGCTGTGGAGGTTTAAATTCTCTCAGCTCAAAGGCTCTTCAGATGATGGGAAAACAAGAGTAAAGCTGCTTTTTCAGAATCTAGATACCAAACAAATTGAGACAAAGGTAAGCAACATCCTCTTTTTCAGTTTAGTAAAAAATAAAATAGAATTACTATAAAGGCATCAAAAATTCCCTTTTCTGCAGCACATGCATATGGTGAACTCCACATCACAGTTTATCTCTTTTTTCCTGTTCTCTAGAAACTCCACTGTAAATGGAAGTGATGTAGTATTTCATCAGTATTATTCAGTATTTCATCAGCAAACTTAACCTGAGTTGTCTGTTGGCTCTACTGTAAAAGATATTATAATATCTGTTACAAAAAGTACAATACTGTAATAACTTGACTATAGTAGCAGGTCATTTCCACTTCATTTCTCACAGTACTCCCTGGAGACAGAAAAGGACTACTATCATCATTTTATATGTGACCATCTGTTGCAGAGAGCTCACGTAACTTGTTCCAGGTCAGAAAGGAAGATTGTACTGGTGCGAAAACCATAGTCTGAATCTCTTAATCTGTGTATTAAATCATTAGATAATCCACGTGTGTGGCGAAGGGCTCCAATTTCATTGTTTGCAATACTGGATCATTCTTCTTTCTGTTGTGGTAAACAATCTGATTTTTTTAAATTTTATTTTATTTCTGTGCTCACTTCAGTTGTTTTTAATTGGTTTTACCTGTATTTTACTCTTTAGACAGAAAAATTGTAAATTTTAGCATTTTTATGAAAATTTTGTTATCTGTAAGATAGTAATAAAAGTAACAATAATAATAATTTTACATCAAATTTTGTCCATGAGACAGATTTGTTAAAACATTGAAATTATTCTTTTGCATAGCTCTAATGAAAACACCTTGTAATTGGCAAAATTTTCATGAATATTTGTGAGGTACTTTGAAATTATCAGATGGAAGACGATACGTGATCAGTTCATACAGAATTCTAAGTATGTATATACCTAAATGTACATATGTGTTGTAAATGTTGGAAGAACCCAGGAAAAGCTCATTAAAGGCCAGTGGAAAGGCTGATGCCAAGTAGCTGAGGATTTGTCAGGATTTCGGTGACTGTACCTTTTACCACTGCCTCTGCGCAGTGCAGTGTATCCAGTAGGATTTCACATTTAATGGGACTGGTCTGCAGCTGTGCAGCCTCTCCACTTCAGATAAGTGGTACATATATATATTCAGGTATATGCCCACCACCCAAATGGTTTTATTTCTTAGACTTCGAAATTACAGACTAGTCAGGAAATAATCAACACTAATACCCATAGTATAGTACAGTATCTGCCTCAGCTTATTGTACTGAAAGAGATTTCATAGAGCCAGATGGTGCTGTACGGTGAAATGCAGCCAATAACAAGAAACAGAAAATGCCATCAAATAATAGAAGTTTCATTTTTCCTGAGTAAATGAGCCACTACATGTGAAATAAAGCTTGGTACAGATGACTTATGTTCACTTGCCAGTAAACAGTAGAGTTAAGGTTGCAAAAGAATTTTCCGGATTATGTCTATTTTATATGCTTATAAATTCTTGGGAAAAAAAACCCCACATTTGGGAATTCTATTTTTGCATCTTGTTGACTAGTTAGAGATAATGTTTTTTCTCCTTCTATAAATTTTAAGCCAAGTGCTTCTTCCTGTGCACTTCAGTTTTAGGTGAAGAACAATACATTTTTCCATTTTAAAAGTTTTCTGTTTGAAGGAGCTAATAAGGCCTAGATTCCTGTCAATTCCTTCTCCTTGAGGTCCTTCATATTCCCTACAAGTTCCCCTCGTAGTCTCCCACTTCAGTACTTCCCTGCCTTTAGTACTTCCAGTAATAACTCCACTTTGACTCCTTGAAATCTGCCAAAAGTCATTGTAATGCACTCATATTACTGCCAAGTCCCAGCATATTTTTATCCAGCCTGACAATAGGGAAAAAGCTGTTGCAGCTGGCTTATGTGTATCTTACCTGGTTAGATAACCCATGTGTAATTGGTGGCCAAGGGACCCCTGCCCCAGCTGTTGGTCAAGGCAGGAAAGGACAATGCTCTCCCTGCCTTCACTTCCCTGCTGGGTGGTAACACGACCTCCCAATCCTTGCCAACGCCTTGTGCCTCACTTCTAGAAATTCAGCTCTTTCCACCTCTTCAGCAAATAGGGCAAAAATTGCACACATGCATACATATGTGACTTCATCATTTCTGTAGGAAATCAGACTTATTTTTTTATAAGAGTAATTTAAAAGTTCTAAAATTGCTACATGGATCTATATGAAGGAGTAGCTCTGCGACTATTTTGAAAGGGGGAGGAGAGTGGTTGATTATGAAGTATTCCTGGATTGTAGCATTAATGTGGAGTTTGTATGGTCAACTCTTCCTTGGATTAGCAGTTTGGAATTCTCTGAGGTGGAGATGCCTTTTCATGTCCCCTTGGTGGGGGGCTTTTAAACCTGTGTGCTCTTCAGCCAGAAGGAGCATGTTGACTACACATGCACCTCTTACACAATGAAAAGTTCATATGCAAAAAGATACTTGCTTTTGTCTTTTCTTAACAGTTACAACTAAAAAAAAAAAGACATGAAAACAAGAAGAAAAAAATCTCTAAATAGTGGTAGGAGAGAGCTGAAGGCATGAAGGCAAGTAATAATTCATAGTTTACTGTGGAAACTGAGCAAATAGTGAAGGAAAAGGATAGGTTACATGCCTTTTTGTTTGCTCCAGTTATCAAAAAAAATGAAATTACATCCCAAATTATGAGTAAGATCACGGGGTTATAAATACAAACCAGAATATGGAAGGAAGGTGCTTGAAATATTTTTAAATGTTAGTTTTTGCAGTATTTAGGAACTAGTGAAAGTTATGTTTGAGAAGTCCAGGTAGATGGGTAAGATTACAGAGAGAGAAAACATAGCAGCTTTTTGGGGGGGGTTGTTTTTTAAAAAAAGGGGATCAAGGGGAGACATAGAGACTTACAGACAAGTGAGCCTAACTTTGATAGTAGAAAAATAACAAGACTATTAAATAAACTCTAAGATTATTAAAACAAATAATTTTTAATTATAGAAGAATAATAAAGTGATAGAAAACTATCAAGATGGATTTTTGAGAAGACACTATAGCAAAATTACCTCATTGCCATTTTATGACAGGCTAACTACTCTGGAGGAAACAATAAATGTGATCTTTCTTGACTTTATTAAAGCTTAAACATAGTCCCACATGATGTTCTCTTAAATAATTTTGGTAAATAGTAACTAAGTTAAGTTACCATTAAAAAAGTTAACAGTGATTGAAAAAGAAATTCTAAAAGTAGATTCCATCATTTGCTTGCAAAATGGAAGAATATAACATAGCCAAATTTGCCTGATCTAGATTCACACCTCTTTAATTTCCTACCTGGTGGAAGTCTGAAGCTGGAGCATGCTCAGTGAAAATTATATCTTTATATAGTACCAATTTGCCAAGTAAATTTTCCAATGAACAAATATGAGCAGATTTCACAGGAATAGTAAAAAGCAAGCCCCTGATGCAAAACTAATCTTCCTGCCAAATTTCAGAGTCTCAGGAATGAGTAAACCATTTTGGCTAAAATTTTCTTTTGAAAAGTAATCTGTTGCGGAAACCTGGTATGGTAAATATCAGCCAAAACATTTATATTTGACAAAGTTCAGCTTATGTACCTGAACACAGGGTTCAGTACTGGGGAATTACAACTAATCTTAATAATAGTTATTCTTAGCCTATATGACATGTACCCTGAATTTTCAAGGTTTCTTTAAAAAAAAATAAAATTTAAGATTAATACTTCCAGGATTGTATTGATGATTTATCTCCCTTAGCTAAACTGTAGCTACCTGGAAGACAAGACTTTTTATTTTCCAAGCATATTTTAACTGAGCATTTCCCTTTTCTTCTCATCTTATTTTTTTTATTCCTTTTATACTATATGGAAAACAAAAGATGGAATTGTATTTCAATAATTCATTCACCCTAAGAATGGAAAGAGAGTTTATTTATCTTTCTTCACTACATTTGCTCTTTTACTAACTTGGTCTCAAATATTTAATTGAAGAAAGAAAGAAAAGAAGTCATATGTCACTAGACTATTGTGAGCCATATTGAAGCTTCAAGTAAATGTTGCTGGTCTCATACATTTCTTGTCTGTTACACACATAACTTAAGAGCCCTGCATATTTATCTGAGTGCATTCAGTATTCTTTCTTCACTGACTTCAAGCCTCAACTCTTCTGTAGTTTCACAGTGGCACAATGTGATCTGATTTTTCAATTACACTCTGCATCAGTTTTGCAGCAAGTCCTATTCTGTTTAAAACAGGAGAGCTTCAGGAGAGTGATCAAGGACAGGTCAGCAACCATATTTCTTCCTTTAGATTTACTGTATTCATCTGAGAGGATATTTATTACATATTAGTACTGTTGAGAGATACAGCAAATTAAGGACAGTGCAAGCAAAGCTCTCTCCTTACAGCAACATTAATCTGTAGCATCAATAAAAAGTAATCTGGGACTCAAGCCCTTCTGTATTTTTATTAACATGAGTCTTTTGTTGCTGAAGTCTGGCAGTTTACTACTGAACATCTTGAGAGCTTGAAAACATTTGCAAGATGATGGTAGATAAGAGTTACGATTTTGCCTGTGTGACAGTATTGGACAGTCTGATTGCTGTTGGAAATGTATTTTAATATTTGCTGGAATGGGTGAATTTAGTTGGCTGCTCCTAGACAAGCATCTCCAGAACAACTTTTCAGATGGGTTTCTTGTGCATTAGCAAAGTTGCCAATGCAACATTTGAAAGTGTTCCAGATTTAGCAGTAGACAGTGGCATTTGGAATCGCTCAAGCTGAAAGCAAAAAGCCATCTGACTCTTCCAGATCCCTGTAGAACACTGTTAAAAGTCTTAAGTACACTTGATAGATAGAGTTGTAATTCATCTGGCACTGAATGTTGGCATCAAAGATCTGGTTCTTAGGCTTGCAGGGTAGGAGCACCATTTTAGCTTATCCTTCTTCTCTTTGTGCAAATGACAGTCACAAAGAGGAGGCCAAAT